TTACAAGAAAAAGAAAAAAGAAATAATCAATTAATTTGGCATTTTGCCTTGTTTTGCTTGAAAGGAAATAATTGTTGAATATATAGTTATATTATACATATTTAGATTAATTCATTACAAAAAAAAATTTTTATTGATCATAAAAATTGTTGATAAGGCTTTTTATATATATATATATATATCTGACTTGTATACACTGGATACGCAAGATTAAAACTGATCAAGTATTTTGACACTATATTTTTTTTACATAAATCAAGTTTATTTATATTTACATTTATTTAAATTTATCTTCTTCATATTATTTTAATACACTTACCTTTTTATTTTTTATAGTAATAGAAAAAAAAATTTTTTAATAACTACACCAACTTAATGAAATTTGATAATCAATAAAAATAAAAAACTTTAATGTCCATATTATATAATTCTCTAATAAATGTATATTTTTTTGTTCCCAAATTAAATAAAAAAAATCAAGCATTAATCGAAATCTTAAGCTAAATTAATTATAAAAATTTAGAAAATTGGAAAATATGAATTAATTAAAATAAAATAAATATATATTCTTAAGGGTTTCTCTCTGCTACACAGCTACTGCATAATACTTACTACTACTAATTCTATCTATATATATCTATATATATGTACCGATTGATTGATTAATTTACTTACTTTTATATATATACTTTCCAGCATTTTCAACTTGGTGATTACAAATAGTCTCATCATCAACTAATAAATATTAAAAAAATTTATTAATCTTATTTTAATATCTAATAAATAATTGCCAATTTAATTTTATGTATATTTTAAATTAAAGATTCTTACATTCATTATAAAGATATAAATTATTATTGTTCATGTTTAGAAATATTGTCGTTTTAACAATCAGAGGATTATTAGGGGAGAGAGTGAGATAGTCGTCTTTTTGTAGGGAAACAGTTCGGCCCAAACCGGTAAGGATCGGAGTTGGCGGAATCTCGGAGTTATAAAATCAATTTTTGTTTCTTTATTTGTATATTTTATTTATCTTGAACGTTCTAAAGAGAATACAAACTAGGGTACAAAATTTTTTCTGGATTCTTTCTAAAATGCAATAAGAAATATTTACCGGGAAAATAATAAACTTGATGGCAAGCTAAGCTAAAACTTAAAAATAAAGCAACAATTAACTCCTTTAGTCATATAGTTCACTTCCTTCGAATTTCATTTTGAAATAATTTGCCAATAAAACTTCCTGATATCTAATGTCAGATAAAAGCTCAAGCTTTAGCTCATCAAATGATAGAAAAGAAGCAAAAGGCTCGATCAATCTATTGCATTGATGGAAAGATAAAAAAGCTAAATGTTCAATTCTATCCATCTTCATCAGTGCCTAGTGAGATGCTTTTTTCTGATCAATCACATCACTCCAAAAAGAAATGAAGTTGTAGGAAAATTTTGTT